TTAAACTTTATTATTCAATTCAGAACAACACCGACTGCTAAACGACCACTTTGCATTTACATATTTCGGTTTCAAATAACTTTTTTCAACTAGTAGAAATAGATTTAGTGTTTAAAACGCTTGTAATATATCATGATTGAGTTGCAATATGCTGTTAAAACCATAATATAATAATGATATAAACATTATTTTGATTTAAAACATGAACAAAAAATCCAAAAAAAACTATTATTTAAACATATATGTTTATGTTAAAATTACTCAGAATGTAACTATTACGTCGTGACTGATAGTAAATTGTTTCAATAAAAAAACCATAACTTAATAAATTTTTAATGCTCCCTCTTTCTATAGTAACGATTATTCGTCTGATATACTACCACAACAATTATTAATCAACTGCATGGCAATATTTTAGTTGCTAAATTTTTGTATAAATTAAACTATATATATAGCCTCTGTTTGTAGTTTAGTTATTAAATTTGAAAAATCTTCATTGCTAAAGTTTCTTAAGAATCGAAAAGCCATCATGGGTTTCGTGGCTCTGGTAGGATTGATGTGTGCTGTGGTGTTTTATTTTCCAGCTGAGTCCATAGATGTCGGTGAGTTTATAGGGAATCAAATTTTTAAAAATTTTTAATGTTTAACAATTTTTTTATATACATTTTGTACTTTAACCGCTAAGAAAAGTTTAATTATAATTAAATATCCTATAAAGAACTTTAATATTTGTAAGATATTTCCGCAAGCTTTTTTTAAAGAATTTTTAAAAATTTTTCGGATATAATTTACAGCACGATGGTATAATGTTTAATTAAGATAGAGTACAACAAAATCTGTGTGATGTGTTGATTCATGTGTGTTTAAATGCATACGCTGCTTTCGTTGTGTATTTTAGAAATACTAAAAAGTGAATAATAAGAAATAAAGTAAAAATGTCCCAACAATCCCACTTAGTTGCTCCCTGCAAGGTTCTGGATTGTCCAGAGAAGTGCGTCAACGGATACGTCCTGGATGCGAATGGATGCGTAACATGTGAATGTAATAATGCCTGCGGCGTGAGTATAACTAATCCATTAACAACCGATATTCCAGAAATTAAGTTTCAATTTAAATTATTTTATATAGTTTAAATTATAAAAAATAATTTAAAATGTGATCAAATTGAAAACGTCATCGGCACAACATCCCAGGAGATGCAGTGTGGAGAAAATGCGATGTGTGCTGCCGTCGACAGTGCCAAACCTGAAGCTGGCTTCAAATGCTTCCCTCTCTACAAACTCTGTAGGCTGGCTGTCTTTTAATGAAAAAATCAAATTTTGAAATCTATTTTATTTGCGTGTCTGTCTGATTGTTAGCATAAGAAATAATAACGTTGAAACTTGTGGCGTCAAACTATAAAATTAAAACTGCATTTTCACTCATTTTCTCAATAAACATCCATGAAGGCTGTCCGAGACCAACGAAACCAATTTGGAGTTTCTGGTTCTACCCTCAAAACTACTGCCAAACCTGCTTCCCTGGTTGCAAGAACTATGGCTGCCCGAAAGGTCAAATATGCTGTACGGACTGGTTCGGGTGTCCACAATGTGTTTGGCCGGTCATCTGCATGGACTATATGGAAGACTCAATGATCAACATCAAGCAGCTGTGAATCCTTTCTTATTGAAACTTTCAACATAAGCACTTTGATTCTATTCGTTTTAAAAATTTATATTCATTTCCATTTTCAAAAACAATGTGACAATTTTATAAACTTTTTAACGGTACCAAAATTTGTTTGCATCCCAATGTTGTCACCTCACCCGTTTACAAAAAGTTATCCAAATACGTGCTTGAATGTTATAAAATTTAACAAATTAGTTAAACTATGGTTTTAATAAATAGCATATAACGTATCAAAGGTTCTTCCTTCTATTTAAGCAAAACAAATTAAATAAGTAAATATGTCATTTGATTAAAATTTCACGAACGTATTTCACGAACACTTTCATTGCCGAATAGAAATTTTATTAAGAAATAAGAACAAACACATTGATCGGAGGCTCTTAATATACACACTTTCTCCTGGTAGCCCGGGGCAGCAGCCTTCCTGTCCCCTCTTCAATCCGGCCGTGGCCTTGGGCCCCACGTATAACAAGAGATGCAACAATTTATCGTATCACACAGAAACGTTATATTTTCAGTTTCGGATTTTGATTCGACTAGCAAGTTTAAGTTTTTAAAACTCTTTATTGTGGCACGAATATTTACAGCCAAATATAAATATATGTCTAAATATATATATATATATATTATATCTATATTGATATATATATATAATAATGTTGGAAGAACACATTTTATACAGTATTGTGTTAATTCTACTGAATTGTTGGCATCAATCAATTTAAAGTTTGTCTTTTCAATTTTCCTTACGAGAATTTTTTGCAAATTGTTCCATTCAGTGAAAATAGAATTATTATCCCAGCTCATCATGGGCATTTAATAAAACTGTTGCTATCCAAATTCATCATGAGGCACACTTTAAATTGATTAATGTCAACAATTCGGTAGAATTCATACAATATTAAATAAATGTAATTAGTATTATAGTAGTAACGTAGCAACACAGTAAGATAAAAAAAAATCATCTACCTTTTTTAAAAAGTAGCGTAATAACAAAAAATATAGTAGTTACTATAGAAATGATAATTATAAACGTTACTATTATTATTAATACACGTAATAATAATAATAATAATCTTATAAACAAAACAATAAAAACATTGCGAAAAAAGATTGTAAATATGAGGCGAGAAGGAAGATTAATATTAATCTGTACAGAGCTGACGGATGGATTGCCAAAGAATCAATAATAATATTAATAATAATGATAAAAAGTTACAAAAATTGTAAAAAATGAAATAAACTACAGTAAATAATAATAATAAACAACAAATTATAACAATAATAATTATAGCAGACGAAATAATTTACAATGTTCCTATAATTTAATTTTTAAAATCAGAGAGTTTAGTTTAGTTTTTAAAGTTGAATTCAAATCAATCCCTATATAAAAAAGAAATCAGTTAGTTCACTTCTTTTCTACAAAATGGTGCAAAAAAATGAAAAAAGAATTAAAACGCGTGTGTTTAAATATCCGTTCTCTGTTTAAATGTCTATGTATGTACAAATATGTGTGTGTATATATATATACATACATATATATATATATATATATATTTGCGATTATTGATGAAAATCACAGTATGTTCCGCGTTAGTTAGCTTTCTGTTTAATTTTAAATAAATTTTAAATAAAATTATACAGGAAGCTAACTAATGAGGAGCATGCTGTGATTTTTATCAATAATTGCACTTCTGACAATCTTAATATATATGTATATATATATCCTACATCCTATATATATATCCTATATATATATATATATATATATATGTGTGTGTGTGTGTGTGTGTATGAATTCTACCAAATTGTTGGTAATGGTAGTAAGGAAAATTGAAAAGACAAACTTTAAATTGATTAATGCCAACAATTCGGTAGAATTCATACAATACTATATGTATGTATATATATATATATATATATATATATATATATACATTCTTGTGTGTGTGAATTTGTTTGTGAGTGAGCTTTAATTGTATAAAAAAATTATTTATAGAAGATATAAAAAAACAGGAGAAAAGTCATAATAAAATTCACTCACACATATAGGCGCGAACACACACACACTTTTACACAAAGATACACACACACACACATATTTTTACACATACATTTTTACACACACAAACACATTAATGATAAAATAAAGAAATAAAGATCCATTTAAATAAATCTATCCAGTATTTTTTAATTCTCAAAAAATATACAGAAAAGAAAAACGATCGCCATTCGGTTTGAACTAAAAAATAATTTGAATAATAAATTCAAGATTTGTTTTATATAAGAATAAGTATAGATATATAAATAGACATATATGCATATGTAGAGAGAGAGAGAGAGAGAGAGAGAACTAGAGAGAGAGGGAAACAGCGCAAATGACCACCTTGCAACTGTTAAATTTTAAGTCAATCAAAATTTTTCATAATAATAATAATAATAGAATAACCATAATAATAATAATATTTATAAAATTAAAAATGATAAAATGACTAATAGGAACATTCATTCTTATTGAATTGAAATGAACATTTGGAGAAACCAGAAATTTCTAATAAATTTATTTAATGCGTTGAAAATCAAACGAGTGCCGGACCATTTATGAAAAATTTAACGATCAAATAATCTCACTCATTCAATTATTCGTTCATTCATTCATCCATTTATTCGTTCACTCCTTCATCAATCGACTTAATTATTTATTTATTATATAGTTTCTTCAATCGATCAACCCCAGCAAACAGATCTGACGGTGATTCAATCGACCAACCAATAAAACAACCCAGTCGTTATCAAATGTTTTATTTTATGAAAAAATTTAACAAAGAAAGAGAAGAATTAAAAAACAAACAAAAAATAATTAGATGACACGTGGTTAAGTTGGAGTTGAATGCTCATCAGAAGTTGTCTGATCTCATGTTGGGAGAATTTCTGAGTCGAATTTAATTTCAAATTTAATTTCAAATTCAATAATACACTTGCATCACCACAACTAAACATCATCCCCGTTACATCACATCATCACCACAAAATCTCAACTCTAACCAACCTACGCAGCCTACCTACCTACCTACCTACCTACCTACTTAGCCTACCTACTTACCTACATACCTGACCTACCAACCTAGCCTGCCTACCTACCTGTTGGAATTTATACCGCCAGTTGGCTGATTGACATTGGAAATAGCGGAAGCCACAACAAGAGCAGAATCAGGAGCATTGGACGAAGAACCATTATTGGCGCCCTGACCTAGATTGCCATGGCCTTGACCCAGATTACCGTGACCTCCCGAGGTCGTAGGAGAGCCGCTAATGGATACTTCGTTCATGAAATCCCAGATAATAATCGTGTCGTCGTGTGAGCTACTCACAATTTGGAATTCGTCAAACTGGAGTCGGAATACTCGGCCGGTGTGTTCCTGAGATGTGAAGCAATGATGATAATGTCATGAGAATGTGATGATAATGTCATGAAAATGTGATGAGAATGTGACGTTACAATGTAATGAAGATATGATGCTAACGAACAACATCAGCGTCATCTACCTACATCAACATCAACAACTTAGAACAAATGTCCTAAGACAGATATCAAAATGACATCAACAACTAACAACAAATGTCCTAAGACAGAGAGTGCCGGATGGGGACCGAGGGTCGAGTGCCGCCTGTAAATCCCAAACTTTTATCCTCCTGTTGAAGATGACGATGAGGATGAAAAAGATGATGATGTTGCAGACGAGTGACACGACAGTAATGGCGACGTGGCAAAACAAGGGAAGCAATAGTTTCAATGATGTAATTATAATAGAGGTAAGATGGATAAAATAACAGTGGTTAATGATGACAGCAACAAATTATAATGATCACGGAGCAAATACTGGCCATTAGATCTTCAACATAATCAGTAGCGACGCTATTGGCCTCACAATTAGCAGCAGCAGCAACAACAACAACATCACTACTACCAACACCACCGCAACAACCACCAACAGCAACAACAACAGCAACAACAACAGCAACAACGACAGCAACAACAACTCACCCATCGTAAGCCCCACTGACGATCCTCTTGTTATCGAACCTGATGCACCTAACTAGCTCCTCGTGGCCCTCGAGAATCCGCAAACATGCCCCACACTCCACATCCCACAGCCTGATCGTGTTGTCGGAACTTCCGCTGACGATCAACTTCTCCCGGTACTGCAGGCAGGCTATCCCACGCTTGTGGCCGTTCAGCGTTCGTACAAACTCGCACGTCGTCGTGTTCCATACCTGGTGTCATGACGGGTGGTGGGGGGATTAGGATTGTGGAGATGAGTATAATCTCTCTCTCTCACACACACACACACACACACACACACACACACACACACACACACACACACACACACACACACACCAATCAATCAATCAATCCATCCATGTATTGATCCATGTATCAATCAATCAACCAATCAATCCACTCATTCATGCATCAACCAACCAACCAACCAACCAGCCAACCCATCACTCAATCAAACCTTAATAGTCCTATCCCCAGAAGCAGAGACGATGTAATTGAGATCAAAGTCGACGACATTGACGGCAGCCCGGTGACCTAGTAGAACCCTGCGTAGGTTAATCTCCTTGGGCGAGATTATATCCCACACGGCTATCGATCGATCCTGCGATGAATTTTCCCAACAATCAATCAATCAACCAATCAATCAACCAATCAATCTTCGTTTCGCGTCCAGAGACCCAGTTCCCCCCGAGGTAGGACGTTTTTGCAACAATGAACAATAAGATATACAGATTCTGTAAGCTTTTTTGGTGCCTTTGCGATAGATTATAAATAATAAGGTAGAAATATTTCTGTGACTATGTCAGGAACTCGGAGAGATTTCCACCCATTCGCCCACCACATGCAATATGCAGTATGGGTGCATTAATAAACGAGTATTCATCTATCTCTACTGAATTCATCAGTCAATTGTAAGATAACTCCGAGATATCGTTAAAGAGAGAATTCTAAAATGATACATAAATAATGATAATAATAATAAAACATGAGTTATAATAAATAAAAAAATATATCGAAAATAAATAACTTTGGAGCATGTAACCACGATAAATAAATATAATGAAAAAATTATGATAAATAAATATAATATAAAAATTATGGTAAATAAATGTAATATAAAAATTATGATAACTAAATAAACGAATAAATAGAAAATACCGATAAATAACAACCTTGGAGCATGTTACCATGATGCCTTCTTCACTGTACCTCAGATGCAGGACTGCTTCACTATGATGAATCAGGATGTTTATTATTTCCCCAGTCGTTATGGACCAGACTCTGTTGTGTGTGTGTGTGTTGTATGTGTGTGTGTGTGTGTGTGTGTGTGTGTGTGCGTGGATTTGTGTGTGTATGTGTGAGTGGGTGTTTTTCTACGTTTGTGAGTTTATACAAATTTGTATTTATACTATTAGGATAGTACTGCATTACATGATTAGCTTTTGGTTTGGCTGGATAGACGAATAAACGAATGAATGAATGAAGGATTGTATGAAAGATCAAACAAATGAATGAACGGATGAATGAATGAAAGACTGAACGAATGAAAAATTGAATGAATGAATGAAGACTTGATTATTGACCTAACAGTTGCGTCACTGGAGCCAGATATGATCATGTCATCACTGAATTGCAAGCACAACACCGAACCTGATTTATAATTTGTAAAAAATTATGTCATAATTATTAATATTATTATCTTATTATTAACAACAACAACACATGTTTAAACGACATTTTCCCCGAGATCGGGGTTGCCGTTTGGCTACCTATGATGAAACCGAAATACCCCTCGACGCCATTCACCCTCTTCCCGGATACTGAGGGCCATTGTCACTTCTGTCATCATAAGTAATTTATTTGGCTAATTTTTACGCAGGACGCCCTTCCTTACGCAACCACAGTTATAAGCGGTGGGCCTAGCCTTTGATGATCCAATATCACTCACAAGGCAGTGAGGGTCAGTTTAATGTCATAACCAGGACTTTATTATCTTATTATTATTCATTTATTTTCCATTATTATTATTATTATTATTATTATTATTATAATAACAACCGTCATCAATTAGATATACTATCGTGTAGGAACATGTGAAGTTTTTCTTTTAAAATGATAACAGTAGTTTTAGTAGTAGTAGTAGTAGTAGTAGAAGTAGTAGTAGAAGTAGTAGTAGTAGCGGTAGCAGTAGTAGTAGAAGCAGTAGTAGTCGTATAATCCTTATTACGTCATAATTATTATTATTAATTATGAATAATTATGAACAATTATGGACAAGCCTACCTGTGTGACCTCTCAGTGACCTGACACATTCTAATGTTGACTTGTTCCAAACCTATTGTTGGATAAAAATTTTCAGTTTGTTGAAAAAAAATAAAATAATAATAATAAATAAAATAAAAATAAATATAATTCCACAGTTAATATAATTATAAAATAAATATAATTACGCAGATATAATTAAAACAGGTGAATAAATAAGTTATAAAAATGATAATGAATATTTGAAAAAGACAAATTGACAGTGAAAATTGTATAAATAGATTGGAAAATGGTTGAGAATAACCATCACCATTCTAACTCATAACGTTTCAAAGCCATCCACATCATCATCAGCCCACTCACTCACTCTAATGGTATTATTGTCCCTCAGATTGCTCACAATCTTACAATCATCATATATACATAACCATCAGCATAATAATTTTCATCATCCTTCTCTCGCCAAAACATCATCATCTCACTCATAATCCTTCCACCAACATCATCATAATCTCACTCACTTTAATAGTATTGTCCCTGAGGCCACAGACAATCTTGCTGTCATCATATTGTAGACAGTAGACCCCCTTGCTAGCCACGCTGTGACAGAGGATTCGTCTCAGCGCCACGTTGCCTGTCCTCCAGTTATTGTCTATTGTCTATTTGTGAGACCGTGGTGGTAATTTTTTTTTTTAGAGAAGATGATAATATTTTTGATAATGAGTGAATTAGACACTGATTTGATGACGACCAGCAATAATTTGTGTGCAATTGTAATGGTCACAAAGTAGACAATTTAATAATTGGATAAATATTGATAGATGAAAAATTATTCCAAAAATTAAAAATACTTTTTTAAAGCATAAAAGCAAAGCACAGCACAACACACCATCAACAAACAACAACAGACAACACAAGCTCTAAATATTTTACTTCAAGAAAATAGAAAAACTAATTTAAATAATGATAAATCCACCAGCCTTACAAGAATCAAACCGGCAATAACCAACAACCAAAGACAACCTACAACAATAAGGAAAAACATTTTCTAACATCGATATCTTTGATGATTTCATTGAAGAGTCTCCTGTAGAAGAGATGCTCCTTGTGTGACTCGCCTGGCTTTGGTCGAAATAAGTAATTCATCCTTCGAACGATAAAATGAGTAATGGATTAGTAATCGAGTGAATTCATTCTTCGAACAATAAATTAAGTAATGTTTTTGTAATCATGTGAATTATCAGTTAATAAGTAATCTGTTTACTGATTGAATAATATTCAGAAATAAACGAATAAAAACTTAAGCATAAACACAAGTCTATAATAAATAAACTGATACACATGGGAATAAAATTGAAAACAGAAAAAAATAAATTCAAGCATAAACATCTACAAGACACAACAACACCAATATATATATACATATATATATATATATATATATACAAAGGCTGACAAACAGCATACACACAGACAGACAAACAGACAGACAAACAGATAGACAAACAGTCAGATGGAAAAAAAAACACACAGACAGACAAACAAACAATAAGACAGGCAAACAATAAGACAAACAGACAGATTGACAAATAACACACCATCCTTTTCTTTGGGCCAGACCAAACCAGAGTGTGTTAGTTCTGACCATTTTTTCAATCAACTTCCTCCATATGCCACCATCAGCAATCACTCGATACCACTCCTTACAGACGAGTTCTGCTGAGCATAATGACTTCGAGTCAAGGTACGAAAGAATTTTTTCAGAGATGTGATCAAGTCCTCGATCTGCGGGATATAGAATATATCTTGAGATAATTTGAAGAGTGGAATTGTGTATTCATTGTACACTTAATTAATAATAATAAGTTTGAATCATTTTGCAATACCTCATTATTTGATTATTATTAAAAAAGAAGAGATTAAAGTTGAAATAAAAAATACCTGGTAGTGCTGAAATAAAATCTCGCTGGAGTATAGGTTGAAGGAATGTGTCGATCTCGCCATGTTGATGGTGGTCCATACGTTGGATCAGTTCTTGCACGAACTGCACTTGCTGGTTTGAGTTCCAGGTTAGAAATAATTTTAAACAATCAGTTTGTTGCTGACAGACAAGTTGGGAGTATTTGTTCTTGTCCTGCTTTCAATCATTTTAATGAAAAAATATAAAAAATAGATTAATCTTATTTAAAATTTCTGTCACCTTCCAATAAAAATAGTGATAAAATTATTTTAAAAAAAACAAGATTAGAAAAATTTTCCAAAATTTCCAACTAACATTTTTAAGAAACAAATGTGAATTGGGGTCTTCAATAACCGTTGATTCCATTGCTTGTTCGGAATAATCCATTTCGTTGGCCGTCTTAAATATTAATTTTAATTTAAATGAACGTTCCTAACTTTTTTAAATGAATGAACTTCTTAACTTTAACTATGTAAACATATTAAATAATATAATAGCGGAAGTAACAGCATAGGCAGTCACGTAAAGCAAAGGTTATTAATTTATGGCAAGCTCAAACAATTTTTTAAAACTTTCAAAATAATACTGTAAAAACATATAATTAGATACATATAAATAGAATAAATTAAATTAGATTAGAATAAATATAACGGCCTTCGCCCATTTTTGACGGTCGAACAAGGAGCTTACTTCCGGAGGAAAATTGGAGGGTGATTTTTTATCGCCCAAGTCGAAAGTTACGATCGTATATTTACTAATTTCGGAATATTGCTTTTATTTAAAATTTCAAAATGTTTTAAAAGGTGATACTAGATGCTGTTTTAGGATAGATATTGCAGTATGACGGTTAAGTATCTTTTTGCATTTTAAATAAAAAAAATTTTTTGTGAACCACCAACAACACTTAACTCATTAACTGCAACAACGCTAAACTCTAATAATTAAGCTAAAACTAAACTCTACTGATTCTAATTACTAATTGAAATAAATAACAGATAACACTAACGAACATTAACAGATTAGACTACTAGAAACTACCAACCACTACACTACTACATACTACTACTACACTAACAACGACTAACAGCACTTGTTCCCAAGATCCTAAATTCTATTGCTTGATTGGTTTTAAAATTTTTATTTACAATGCTTAGGTCTGGGAATAAAAAATATACTAAATTAAATAAATATATTAAACAACTTACCAATCAATTTTATAAAATAAACACTTTTGTAATTTGTTCAATTGAAGCTTCAAACTCCGCAAGCTAACTTGCAATTTAATTAAAATTTATTAATTATGAGTGATTCAAACTAAATTTTTTTTCATTTAATGTTTTACAAAATATTCCTCATTCTTAAATTGTAGTACATGTTGTTATTAAATTTATTAAAGATAATGTGTGATTCCAGTGATTCATCAATCCATGACTTGTTAGATCATGATCATTCAGTTTTAAAGAATCCCTATCACCATAACCAATGAGGTTTGTAAAAATTGTACTTTTAATTTATTATATTTTATGCACTTAGAATGTTGTGTTATTAATTATTATCATTAATTTAATAAATACCTATGGCAAGTAAATAAAATAATTAAGCATAGAAATAGCCACAATCAAATTAATTTATATAGGCATGAGTATAATTTGGATAATAATAATTAAAAATATCGGTATCATTGAAAATGGATAAAGTCATAAATAAAAAAAATAAATCATAAATTGCTAAAAATAATAGTTCCAGTAAGATTTTGCCTTACACCTACATCTTTTTTTCATTCTTATATTATAATAAATGTTTGTTATCAAATATATCAAGGATTGATTTCTCAATCCATGACTAGATTGAATGTCATGATCCTACAGTTCCAGAGGATCCCCATCACCATTAGTCAATAAGGTTTGTAGAAATCACCCCAGGCATACCATCAATGTTTTGTAGGTAAACTTATTAAATATTATAAAACAATCTTATTAAAATTATTGAACAGGTATGACAAGATTACTTTCTTAATGTCCTAGTGTGAGATAGATGTAAGCCATTTGTCCAAAGATAATCATATGCCTTATGCCCATGCAAATGCAGTGTCAACGCGAATGATTTTTGATCAGAGTCATATGTTCTAATTTTTTTAAACTTTTCCAGACATTTTTCTGTTAATTTATTTGTTACATTAAATACTTGATGTGTATTTCATATAAAAACTTGATTATGCCAATTTAGTTAACTTGTTAAGCATTAATATAAAATTGACTCTACTTGTAATGGTGATTGGTATGATGATGATGATCCCAGTCCTAAGCAGGGTTTATTATATACAATGTCATTATGCCCTTTCTAAGTTTTAATAAAATACATGGAATATTGATGAATGCATTTTATATTTTTTGTATAGATAAGAATGTTGCAATGTACAATGATGATGTGAATTGCTTCCTTGTGTAACTGATGACATATAAATATAACTAACTTGAAAACATGGGAATGCTTTCTTCAGCATTACCTTCCTTTCTCCATCATAACCCTTATAATCTTTATTACAGAAATGGTCACTGCATATTCTTGCATTTTTTGATGGAAGCCATTTGAAATCATTTATTTCCTGTCTGATGCACTTAATCCAATCGTTTTGCATTTTTACATTTTGAGGAAATCTGAAATTTTATAAACTGTTACAGAAACTTGTGCATTTCTTAAGTATTGCTTTTAATAATAAAATGGTAATCCATGATAGCATTATAAATTATAATAGTCTATAAAATAAAATATATGTAATTGTAAAACAAAATAGTTCTATTCAATGAGTATAGGGATATTGTTACATTTATTTTAGTGTGAAGTTAATTTGAAAATAAACCTGTGAAAAGATGCATCAGAAATTTTCTCATTTCTATTTATTATTAATGCAATTTTTAAATGCAACAGCTAGGCATGTTTGTGTATAGCTACGAAAATGAAAATTTACTTAAAAACTAAATTATTGTATCTGACACGAAAATTAGTACAGAAACAAAAACGAAAGAATAAATGACAATTTAAAAATTTAAACGTTGATTGAAAGAGTTTATTCTAATTATATGGTATGGTCAATTCGTTGCGAAATCGTTGGAGGAAATGGTGTCAACAGTAGTTATTTTACTGCATGGTAGTTAATCAGCCGGTATGAAGGTTATATTCAATTCCTATCAAATAAATTTGACAAAATATCATACACAGGCAGAACTAAATAAAGAAATAGATAGATATATACACATAGTTATAATACATTTATAATGTTGTATTTACACATTCAAATTGTACAATTGTGTTATGGTGTAGTCTCAAATTATTGCGAATTCTCTCAGAAAATTTTAAACGTTTTACTAAACTATATATACTAGTTATTTTTATCAACAATTTAAAAATTTCATCAATAATTAAAAAAAAATTTCAAATTGATTTCATTGTGATATCGATAATGATTTTTGTAACCTGACTGATTAAAAAGCATCATATAAAGTTAAAATTGGATGGAGAATTTGTTATATTGGGATATTCGTTTAAAAATTGAGCAAAATTTTAATATAAAAGCGCTTATAAATATATGCATATTGGCTCAGCTTGGCTTGGCTCGGCTTGGAATCGGATGTTAAGCAAGGTGTGGTCTTAAACTATTTTGAATTCTCCCCGAAAAATTTGAACTGCGTGCGTACATATATAGTAATGGCTACTGTTGTTTTTTATAATGAATTTATAAAATATATAAATATAGCGAGCAAAATTTTAACATAAAAGCGCTTATAAATCTATGCATATTGGCTCAGCTTGGCTTGGCTCGGCTTGGAACCGGATGTTAAGCAAGGTGTGGTCTCAAACAATTTTGAATTCTCCCCGAAAAATTTGAACTGCGTGCTTACATATATAGCACTGATTACTGTTGCTTTTATAATGAATTTTTATTATATATATATAAAGTGACTGGAATCCATGTATACAAATAATTAAATTATATTATATTAGATTATATGTTTATATGAAAAGCAATATAGCAGATTCACCCAGCCAACCAGAAAGTTTCGAAGGCGTTCGTTCGATGATTTCAATTTAGTACGGTTAGCATTGTGGTTAAGACTGTATAATAGTGCAGTATATACATTAAACAAGTTTTTTACTGATGCGAATGATTGAAATGATGAGAATGTATGGTTGAAACGAGTATAAATAGAGGAGCTGAGACAACATGAAAATCAGATCAGCATTCTGCCTCGCTTGAAGCAGTCTGTCTGATCTCATTTATTTTATTTTAAAAATTTTTTTATTTTTATTTATTTTATTATATAGAGTTATATAGAGTTATATAGAGTTATATAGAGTTATATAGAGTTATATAGAGTTATATAGAGTTATATAGAGTTATATAGAGTTTGCATGTTTGTAGGTGGTTTGAATGTTTGTAGGTGATATTTTTTTAATTTTAGGTGGGTTCTTTAACGGTTGCTCATACATACATACATCATGTTTGTTTGTGTGGTAGTATTTTATGTTCTGTTTTACTCCTTTTTCTCTTTCTTCATGAGTCTTGAGTTAAGTTAATGAAGCATAGGTAGGTGAGGTAAAAATTAATTTATTATATAGGTGGGCTAGGGCATAAGGTAATTTAGTTACATAGGTAGGTTAGGGACTCCTATTCTTTTACTCTACTTGGTGGTATGATTTATGTTTTGTGTTTTTTTTTGTTTTGTTTCACATCATACATTCAGCAGGTACGCGGTGGTTCCTGGTTTTAGTGGGATTTTTATTGATTGAATGTGGTAGTATGCATGGTTATATAGAGTTATATAGAGCATAAATCCTATATAGATACCTATCTTTGTTCTTCTTTTCTCTTTTCTTTGCCGACCGGTCGGTTTCTTTGCGGTTATTTTCATTTAAATTGAATAAATAAGATTTTACCATTCATTTAGGTTTTTCAGGTTCATTTATCCAGGTTGAAGCTTCCAGAGGAGTTCATCGTGGACGATCCGAATGATTGTGATGTCACGCTACGTTCGTTCATTCGGTGGCAAAGAATGCACGCCCTGCTGGGGTACGTTTTACGGTTTCTTTGCCGTTCTTTTTTTGCCAGTTGGCTGGCTTTTCCGGCGGAGTTCACCGCGGCTCGTTTTTCTATTTTCATTTAAATTAGTCAAATAAATAAGATTTTTCCATTTCATCCATTTTATTCAGGTTGAAGCTTCCAAAGGAATTCATCGTGGAAGATGTCAGGCTACGTTCGTTCATTCAGTGGTAAAGAAGATACGCCTGGCTGGGATACGTTTTATTCTTTTTTTTCTGTTTTTCTCTGTAATTTAACATTAAGTAAGAATGCTCACACGCGCGTACACACAGTTACATTAAATAGCTATATAGGTAGGTTAGATAGGCATAATTTTAATTGTAGGTAGGATAGATAGGAAGCATCCAACACTAATGTAGTTGAATAGGTAGGCAGCGTAAGTTTATCTCTTCTATTTTTTCTCGCACCCACATTACACGCATCAGCGTATTATACACACACACACAAATACATACATAAACACATATTAGTGTTTGAGCGTTATTTTATTTTCATTACACATTCTAATTTATTATTATTAAGGTTGAGAGTAATTTAATTTCATAGGTAGTTAAAAGCAATAATTTAATTCTAGGAACAATCTTGTAATTTAAATTAAATAAACGCTGTAAGTGTACCGAGAGGTAAGTTAGTTATTAAGTTTTACATTATTATTATTATTAGGCTGGAGCCCAAGGCATTACGTAGGTGGTGGGGTGGGTGCCGAAAGGCCAATGAATTGGGCTCTTGAGTTTTGTAATTTTTGGTAAGCTAGGGCCATAATGTAATGAATAGGTAGGTTAAGGCTACGTTGTAACACATACTCAATAGATTTAGGGTTTAAGTTTTATAATTATTACTAAGTTGGAGCCCAAGGCATTACGTAGGTGGTGGGGTGGGTGCCGATTGGCAAATGAATTGGGCTCTTGAGTTTTTTTGTAATTTTAGGTAAGCTAGGGCTTAATTGTAATGAATAGGTAAGTTGAGGGTACGATAGCCGATAGACTCTGAATTTCAAAGTCTGTTGTCAGAGGTAAGCCTTGGTGGCCAGTGTTGTACCGGCAATGGTTTACTATCCGGACGGCAATGGTTTACTATCTGCACTGTAATGATTTACCATGCGGCACGGCCATAGTCTACTACCCGCACGGCTTCCGGACGGCAAATGGTTTACTATCCGCACGGCAATAGTCTACTATCCGCACGGCAATGGTTTTCTATCCGGTGCCCTGGCTGTCGGTGAGCCTCTGTGCAAGGAGGAAGAATGAAGGGGGACTTTCGACTATCGTACCATTAACAATTTAATATAGATTAGTTAAGGTAATTGAATAGGTAGATAGGATTATTTTTATTAAACAATTTGAGATGCAGGCACCGCTAAGCTTTCTGATGAGAATCTACTCTTTCTCTATTTTTCTCCATCAACACGGGCTGTGTTTCAACAACAATCTCGAGGAGGACTGGCACCAGTTTTGGAGGACAACGTAGGAACCGGACCGCATTCAACATTCTGCCTTTGTCGAATAAACGACGGTAAGTTTTTTTTACATTTTACTTACTTTATTATTTTAAAATTTTATTTAGTTGACATTATTTTCATTTTATAATTTAATTTTTTTTTGCTTATAAGATTCTAACATTCATTTACTACTACGCAAATAAAAAAATTTTGTTTACAGAATGATGAGAAGTGGGCAGTGGTGGGAGTCAGCACGTTTTAGATGGTGGTCTCATGATGATTTACATATGATGATGGTGGTGTAGGAAAAATCAGCTCGTTGGCTGTTCGACTGACACTCTAAAGTTTGGATGGTATTTCGTGTGCCGACCAGATGGTGGTGGTCGGTGCAATGGAAAGTACAGTAACAACGATTTTTGAAGTAAGGTTTAGTTTCGTTTTTTATTTTCCTCATTCGTTCATTTTATCACTCAACCTTTTAAATTATTCTTCTATTAATTGATTCGTTAATTCATTCTATTCATTAATTGAATCATTGATTTATTAATTAATTCTTTCATTCACTCATTCATTCAACCAATTATTCAATCATTCAGTTAATCATTTATTCGATCGTTCCTTTGTTCCTTGATTTACTAATACGCTATTAAAAAAATGTCTACAGAATGATGAGAGGTGGGCTGTGGTGGCATCAGCACGTTTCAGATGGAGATCTCATGATGATCGTTCCGATGACAATTCGAAGATAACAACAACGACGGTTTTTGAAGTATGATTTAGTTTCTTTTTTTTATTTTTCTCGTTCATTCATTCATTTTATCACTATCTTTCAAATTATTCCTCAGTTAATTTATTCATTGATTCATTCATTAAATCATTGGTTGATTAATTAGTTAATTTATTCATTCAACCAATCGTTCAATCATTCAGTTAATCATTTATTCGTTTGTTCCTTTGTTTCTTGATTTACTACTTTGCTAATTAATAAAAACTTGTCTACAGAATGATGAGAGGTGGGCTGTGGTGGGCGTCAGCACGTTTCAGATGGTGGTCTCATGATGATCGTTCCGATGACAAATCGAAGATAATGTTAAAGGTAAATTTGTTTTTGTCTCATTGTACCTTTGGAAGTATTCGAATTTGAATAAAGATTGAGTGTTATCTCAAAAAGATAAGTTGCCTATTTTTTCCAATTGCTTGTTTTTTATTTTAGTGAATTAATTTTTTTTTTCAATTTATTTTTCAGTATCCGGTCAAATTCATTCCATCGATGCGTGTCAGATGATGGTCGGTGTAATGGAGGTTCGTCGGTAGTGAGTGAAGTTTCTGGAGAGTGTGCGCCCGCACATTTACATACACACACATCAATACAACACATACATACACAACATCCATTCATTCGGTGTCGTTGTTGCTATGTTTCTCTTCAACTTTATATTTTCTTTACCGTGAACCGGGCTTTAATTTAATTCATAGGTAAGTTAGGGACTGAGATGAGTTAAACAATTGTAGGTAGGCTAGGGCTTAACATTAGTTAAAAAGCTTCAAGTAAAATAAAAACGCTAAAATATGTTAAATAAAATACTTGAAACATCTAAAACGAGAAATACAAATTTGTAGGTGAGTGAGTTGAGTCAATGTTAATAAGTAAGCTAGGGCTCTGAGAGTAATTTTATTATAGGTAGGTGACTGACTATTATTCTTGCGACTTCTTACTAGTTTTGTGTGATGTGTTTGTTTTCGCTTCACAACACCACACCAACAAAACAAACTACATTTCATTCTCGTCGTCGCCTTAAATTGAACCTTTTTGAACAATCTTTTTAATGTCTATTTATTTATTCATTAAATGTTGACTGGTTTTTAGTTTTTTTTAAATTGGTTATATAATTTTTGGATATTTCTTGATTTACTTTGTATATATGCATGTATAAATTATTTCTGTTTAGTATGTTGATTTAGTCATGATATGTTGTGAACTGTTCTTACTAAATGTTCATGTTACGTGGTTTATTCTTCGAGAACTTACGTAGAATATAGACATACATACCAATGGCGGCTAAGCGTGTTTGTATTGCGGAAATTTTATGGTTTTTGTTAAATAATCAAGAAAATTTAAATGACGAGGGTTTTAAATTGGAAGTTGTAGAATTCTATACTAATGATGAAATACTTAATGGTAAAAAAATTTTATTAACTGAAATAGAAGGTTAAAAAAAAGATAAAATTAAGTTAACGGCTCGTGGTAATACCAAATATGATAAAGTTAGTGAACTTTTGGAACTTATTAAATTATGTTTTGATAATAATTTGATGGACCTGTTACCTACATTTACAATATATAATATATACCGAATACCTTTAAGACTAGCGAGAGTAAATAGCAAAAATATTAATGATAATTTAATAAAATTAAATGATAAAATAGAGAAAAATAAACAATTGATTGTGCAATTAGCTAAACAATTGAATAATAGAAGCGATAGTGCACGAACGTGTAACACATGTGAACAACAAAGCAATAACGGTAAAGGTCGTTTGCAACGTATTGAAAGTGTAAACAGCGCAAGCCTTCTTTCAGGTGATAATGTTGACAACTGCGCTAGTAAAAAATCTTGGGCCGACAGAACCGCTAAACGCTACACGTCGCAAAGTGAGTCGTGTGATGAAATTATCGGCGACGATGGTTTTCAAGTGGTGAGAAGTAAGAAACGAAAAAAATCGTCAACCTCTCCACAACTGGCATCCCCAAAACCTGCGTCAAAACCAACTTCAAAACAAATGAAAACCTACGGTACTGGCATCAGCTGCCCATTGAAAGCGTCGAAAATAATAGAGGAAAAAATTACCTATTATATCGGAAATGTCAATACATGCAACAAAAATATAATTGAGGACCATCTGAAACAAAACAACATAGCTTTTCTACAATGCTTTCCTGTACTCCGTAAGAAAAATCCGGATGATCCTTTGGTAGAGAAAAGTCAAACTACGGAATCGACGGCTTTCAAAATTATAATACCTTTGAATGAACGTGAGAAACTGGTTAATCCTGACATATGGCCCATGCACACGTTCTTGCGCGAGTGGGATTACAACATGTCAGCAAGTAAGAAGAAAGATGGAAACTTTCGGCCAACAACAATCAACATCAATCATGGAGGCAACAGCTGATAACTATCCATTAAACTCTGTTTTTAAAGATTATAAATATTTTACATCTGAAATTATTATCAATAACTTAATCAAACCTCAATTACATTTAGTTCAAAACAATATATCGATTTTGCATATAAATGCGCGTAGCTTAGTTAATAAAATGTCAGCACTTAACATATTATCTGATCAATTTTATAACTTTTTTAATATTATTGTGATAAGTGAAACTTGGTTGAATGAAAATACGGCTGATTGCATAAACTTACCTGATTATAAATTTATATATAAAAATAGAGATGTTGGACAGGGTGGTGGAGTTGGTATATTTGTAAAAAGTGGTTTTGATTGCTCTGTTTGTGATGATAGTGTACTTAATGATGAATATGTAGACATGTTATGCATAAATATAAAATCAAATTTTTTCTACAAGTCAACAAATGTGATTGCCTTGTATCGTCCGCCAGACATTAATTTTAATTATTTTTTAAATAAACTTGAACTGGTTTTGGGTGCGCTAAAGCCAACTCAACAATCTTATATTGTTGGCGACTTTAACACTGACTTAAACTTAAACTCACAAAACATAATAATGTTTGAAAATTTATTGTCCTCTTATGGTTATATTCCGCTAATAGAATCTCCTACTCGTGTAACTCCTTCTACAGCGTCACTAATTGACAATATATTCACAAATTCGTCTGAATCTTTTAATAGTGGAGTAATCATCTCAGACTTCTCCGATCACTTTCTTATATACTCAATATCTAATAATCCAAATCTGCTAAACCGTTCTCATCAACTTCTTAATAAGCGAAATTTAAGTAAAAATTATAGAACAATTGATGTGCCAGAGATTAAAATCTTTTATACAGTTTAAAAATATTATTCATGAAAGTCAGTATGGATTTCGAGCAGACCACTCAACGGAGTTGCTATAGTAGAATTTTCGCAGAGAGTGATGGAAAAATTGAATGAAAAGATCTTCACACTAGGAATTTTTATAGATCTATCAAAGGCATTTAATCTAATAAACCATGAAAAACTGTTAAGAAAACTCTATTCATACGGTATAAGAGGAGTTGCATATAAATGGTTTTCCTCTTACCTTGGAGAAAGAAAACAATATGTCTCAATCGAAACCTATGAATCAGAAAGGCTCCAGATTAACTGCGGAGTCCCACAAGGCTCCATATTAGGACCAATACTTTTTACCTTATTTATTAATGATCTATGCCACATAACTACATCAGCTAAATTTTTATTATTTGCTGATGACACGACTATATACTTTCATACTAAAGAACCTAACAAAGATTTAAATTTTATCAACAATGAAATTCAATCCATCGCCAATTGGTTTACCTTTAATGATTTAATAATAAACTACACAAAGTGCACATATATGATATTTGGACCAAGAATACTAACCAATTGTATCACAGACTTAAATATACAAATCAATGGTAATCCCATACATCGATCGAGCTCAACAAAATTTTTAGCTATCTTCATCAACAATAACTTATCCTGGGACACGAACATTAATTTTATTTCCAAAAAAATAAATAAAACAATAGGTATATTATATAAAATTAAAAATAAAATAACAAAAAGTGTATTATTAGAATTATATTATACCCTTATTTACCCAAACCTAACGTATTGTAATTTGCTGTGGGGAAACAGTCCAAATTTACACTTGCAACATATTTCCGTTAGCCAAAACCGTTTCATTCGTCTCTTTTTCAATCTTCATCCTCGCTGCCATATTTCTAATTATTACAATATTTTACAAATTATGAATGTTAAAAATATCCACTTGTATACCTTAGCTCTTTTTATGTATAAATATGTACACTGTGAACTCCCGTTGTTTTTTAAACATTTCTTCAACTTAAGAAGCTCGATCCAAACTAAAGTATTAAGGAATGCATCAACTTTTTATCCCAGTTATTCTAGATTGAAAATAATAAATAATAGCTTAAAAATTTCTGGTCCGAAAGTTTTGGAAGAAATTATTAACACAGAAATGAAAAATATATGTCAAAAACATTTATTTAAAAACAAAGTCAAAAAATTTTTGATTGAGCAAAATACTTTTTTTTTAACTTGATATCAAAAAGGCAATCATATTTTGTATGTATGTGTGTGTGCGTGGGTGAGTGTGTGTGTCAGGTGTGTGTTGGGTGTGTTTGTGTTTGTATGTATCATAGTCACCTTTTCTTGAGCAACATTTATTATTTACTAGAACAAGAATTTCTTATCATTTGGCCAACTTATCATGTGTATACGGTTTTCATATGTTTCCATAAATGATATTTTTAATACGTAATTGTAGTAAATATACTTCATATTTAAATCATTATGAATTTTTATAGGTATGTATGTATCTGTGTATTCGGGCAGCGTGTTTTAGGAATATGAATTATGTTGGGCTTGGTTGGGTCTGCCGGGTCGTTAACAATCTGTGAGATTCGATCAAGTTCGACGAAATATGTATGTGTGTGTGTGTGTGTGTCTGAGGGTGGGTATAGGTGCGTGAGTGCGTGTGTGTGTTTGTGTGTGAGCGGGAGTGTTTGCGTGAGAGTGTGTGTGGGTAAGTGTGCGTGAGTTTGTTTGGGTGAGTGTGCGTGTTTATGTGTGTGTGAGTGTGTCTATGTGTGTGAGTGTGTTTATGTGTGTGAGTGTGTGCATGTGTATGTGTAGATATGTGTATATATGTATATGTAACGGGTTCGATATTAACTAAACACAACGACAGATATATTATTAATCCTCCTTTATTAAAACCTAACTAAATAATTATTCGAATAAACCAAATTAATGAAAATGCAACAATACAATACTCAATTTTACCAACGTCAACTCCGACCCAAGAGCCACATAAAGGAAAGAGAGCTACCTTATTTGCGTAGGCTATTTATAGGCATGCACGGTGCTCTCTCCTAGGTAAGCGCTTGTACTTTGGTCTAGTAATCGACCCACGTGACCATACGGCGCTCTCTCCTAGGTAAGCACACGTGCTTTGTGCTAGTACTTATTCCACGTGATCATGTAATGGAACAATTTCCATTACATGTATATAAATATTGTATTCTAGGAGCGTTAACCAGGGTACAGCGGGGGTGTATGTGGAGGGGCACATATCTATGTGTAAGATGTCCATTCACTAGGCTGTTCCCTGAGACATGTGGCCACGCCCTATATGTGTATGGTGTTAGGCCATATTTATTTATGTGTCTATTTATTTGAGTGTGTAAGTGAGCGTATGTTTGGTTTCCAGATCATTTCATTTCATCGATTCTGTTTCTTCAGTTCTGTATAACAGTATTGTGATATGAATTGTAGTATGGTGCGTGTTTGTAAGTATGTGTGAGCGTGAGTTTATGTGTATGTATTTCATGACATTTCTGTTACATCTATAGTTAGAAATTTTAGTTAAGGGTGGCCTATCCACAAGTTTATCTTTTTTGGTCATCCTTCAAATCAAATAAATAAAAAAAAAAAAAAAAAAAAACTTCTAAGGAGTGTGTATGATAATAATAATAATGGATAATAATTATTTTTATCGGTCGATATTTTGTTATATTTGTTTATTTAAAATACGAATTTTTAAAAAAAATTGACATTTTAAAATTTTAATTAACCGTCACTTTTTATTTTTGAATGAATTCAAATAAAAGCAACTACTGTGTTTTTCTTTCTTTACTAAAATCTCGAAATTGTTTGTAGATCTGTAGTTAACTGTTCGAGTTTGAACAGGCCTTGCAAATTTTTTTATTTATTTTTGTTTTTATTTTTGTTTATTTGGTTCATTCAATTTAGTTGATTGATTGATCGGTTGATTGATCGGTTGATTGATCGGTTGGTTGATTGATTGACTGGCTGGCTGGCTGGCTGACCGACCGACCAACTGATTGTTTGATTGTTTGATTGATTTATCTCATAGAATTGTATACATGAGAAAAAATCCGATTAAGCCAACCTACGGCTTCAGTAAACCACTGTTTTTCACCTGACAAAAGCAATTTCTATATTTATACTGACAAAAATAATTGTGATATGAATATATTGATTTATTTAAAGCATTATATGTACAAAAAAGTGCTATCTATGAAACCCTGTAAGCCACTGCTGTAAGCCAACGTATGATTTCAGCAGCCAGTTTCTTATGAGCATCAGCAGAGTGTAAAATATTCATTGAATATAATGAAGATAGTTGTTCAAATATCAATTTTGATTTATTTAGGCCGTTTATTTCATAAGCAAACCAATTTTTAACATGATCGAATAGTGTAAAAAAAAAGGGTGACTATAGTTCAATCCTACTAAGCCAACCTTCGGCTTCAGTAAGCCACCGGATTTCACCGGACCAAAAGCAATTTTTATATTCAAATTAACAAAAATAATTTAATAATACATAATTCTATTAATCATTATTAAAATTAAATAGAATTACTACAATGTTTTAAGCATATTAAATCAAGTAAATATTTCATTTAGCTTGCTCGTTAAAATCCATGCAATTTCGTAAGCCAACAATCCAAGCACGACAAATAGCCCTACCGATAGATCGAATTGATCGATTAGTCCTATTATTCTAGTTATGTGGTTTTGAGCAAGGGGAGACGTTACTGAAAATAATTAAAAGTTGAAAAAATTGAGGTTCTTTGCATATCCCTGCTTCAACCCATAAGAAGGTGTTGTATGCTGGTAAATAGGCCTCCCCTTGTGTAAAAATTATTGTCACTTTTATTAATATTGACAGTATTACAATTTGAATTTAACTCATTATGCAATTTTTTATAAACTTTTTACAAATGACAAATTTAGAATTGGCTTTATTAGAAGGACTGGCCCGTTAATGAAACTCCTTCGAACCACATATCGTATCGTATCGTAGCGTATCGTATCGCAGAACTTGCACAGCGCCTACCTCTCTCACGAATCGCGCATCAATTGGCTTCAGACGCGTTCATTGATTGCCATCTATCGACGTTTTTAAAGGTTGTAAATGTTTTTGAAAAATTGATAAATTTTCAAAATTATTGATACTTCTTGGCTTCTGTACATATCGAATTTGTATTATTTCTTAAATACATTTGTGACAACTATTCGTTGAAAACTATATCATAATAAAATGTTATATATATATATATATAATATATATATATATACATACATACATATACATACGTTTTCTGATGTTTAAATACAATATGGAATACAAACAACATCGCAGGCGAAAGAATCGTGAAACACGTGGCTACAGGAAACAAAGAATTTTAACAAAAAAAGTTTAAACTCTTTGAAAAAAAATAAAAATTTCTTTGACAAAAAAATAATTAAAAATTCTTTGTTGTAGCCGCTTGTATTGTAGCCTTTTAATTCGATGCTATATTTAAACATAAAAAAAGTCGACCTTGTTTTTATAAGTCTTTATATACATTGAATTATATTTAAATTTTTTAATAAATTTTATCAAATTAAGAGCAAAAATATACTAATAATAACAATGACGGACGTAGGCAGTACACGTCTAGAGCAACAGATATTGGCTCGGTGTTACATGGAAACTTATGTCAAACAACACTCTTCGTTTCAGTTGTCAATTTATGAGAAAACTTTGAAGGAAGATTTCAAAAATCTCAACCTATCTCCTATGGAGGTGAAAGATTTTTCAAAATTCTTGGCGTCCTATGATGATTTCACGCTACCCGAGCATGAGCAGTGGGTCAGGAAACTAGGAGTTCTTGGCAACAGCGATTTCTACGATCTGATGAATAGTCTGCAAGAGTTGTATTATATAAAACTTCCATCAAAATGCATTTCTAAGCATGAACTATTTTCTAATGGACGTCTCTTGAATAGAGAAGTGCGTCTACTAGATTATTATCATCCAAATTTTAAAAAATGCAGACGGTATAAATTACCGTATTGTAAAAATAAGTTCCTCAACGATATCTGTTACATATGTTTGCAAGAGTTTGTTGAACGAACGATCGTGCTAGAGCTGAACTGCAGACATGCCTTTCATTTCGATTGCGTCAAGATTTGGTTTTGGTCGCAGTTTAGGACCATCTGTCCGACCTGTCGAGCCAAACAGACAATGATAAGCATCAACGTGTTCGGAGCTATTGCCATACTCTCGGACGATGGTGCTTGGGATGAAATTTTTCATCTAACTTCAAGTCCACTTGTCGAGATGTTTTAATTTACGTCATTGCCTTAGTTTTATCGCATAATATTTTTTCATTGTGAGATTAGCGGGGCACGCACGTGTGCATGTCACGGATTGATATTGTTTGAGTATATGCGAGTGTGGTCAGTATGTTTAGAGAACGAATTGTTTCTTAATTAGTCTTCTACGGTTATGTGTATGAACACGGTTTATATATATATATATATATATATATATATATATATATATATATATGTTTGAGAATGTAAAGGAGTTTCTTGGGCTTTTTCTGCTCGGTTCTTCGTCTGTTTTCATCGTGGTTTGTCTTCTTTTGGGCTCCTTGGTTTTCATTGTCTTATTGGACTCGATACAGGCGCTGTTCTGTTATCGATAAAAATTTACTTTTAGTTATTTATTCTATTTTAAACTCAATAATTTTCAATGTTTTTACATATTATTATATTTTACTTCCACTATATGCAACTAATACTCTCTATATTCATAATTTTATTTTCGTCGTTCCAAACCTTGCATGTTGTTACTTGCTCTGCGTTTAACAGTCTAATTTGCGGTATGAAAAACTATGGAGATTATTTATTGTTCAGTTGAAACATTAGAAGTTGTTAAAATTTGATATTGCCCATCATTTTGCAGAAGATTGTTAGTATATCATCGTATTTTAATCAATCATCGTGTTTCAACCAGTTTTACATAAATTTTATACGACCACGCCACTCACTCTGATTCAAATATTTTATTTAAAATTAATTTTACAGTCTGAATATTTTTTTTATTCTCATGGACACTTAAAATAACATCTATTGTTTTGTGTGATCGTTTTTTCAAAAGTTTTATTTCAAAATAAAATGTTTTAAATAAAATGTATATTTCGGTAGCATGATGGTTTAATGGTTAAAAGCGCCTAGTCTTGCCTACTTTGTGGTTACTGGGCTCGATCGCAAAGATATCTTCGTCTATTATATGCCCGCTTTTAAGCGTAAGTGCTCGTAGCAGCAAAATAAATAACCAAAAATTTAAACAATCAATTAATAAATCAATTAATTAGCTTGAAGCGCTATTTAAAATACCAGTGTTTGTTGTCTTTCGTGCAGTTAGTTTAACCTCTTGTTTATTAATTTTTCATCATAAACGCCTCGATTTACGATCGTCTTCTTGTTCTCACTTCTTCTTAACTCGCGCTAAACACTTTTATGCTAAATCACCTGCTAAGTCTACCATCTCTCTCAGAACGTCAGCAATACAATCTAATTAAAGATATACAAAACTTCTATTACGAAACTCTCGTCAAAAGATAACTTTTCCCAAATGTGATAACTCCATGAAGATGAGAATTTGCACCTAAGGATTAATAACCCCAGGGATTTGTTCAGCCTGCGTGGGCGGAAGACAGGAAGTACGCAGTTCCACACTTTGATCACATGTTCAAAAATCATTCTTGTGGAATATGCCGGGATCAATTTATAGAAAACAAATTAGTCTTCGAGTTGAGTTGCAAACATATAAATATGAGATGAAACGTTCAAACTGCAGCTACAAATATGTTGACATATCTCTCAGTTCTTTGCCTAGATATATTTGATCGTCAGATTGAACTAATGATTTACATAAAGAAACATATAGATACATGTATACTTGTATATATATATATATAATATAACATCTTCATAAATATTAAATAAATAAAAAGCTTGTTTGAGTTCCTCATCGTCGTTCATTTTGTGCTCGTTGCCCTGGTCGATGTTATTTCAATTATTAAATTAGAAATTTATTGAATTCTTCTCAGCAGATTATCTGCTGTCTGATTATGATTATATTGCAAATAAATTGCTCTCTAGTAATGTATCGTCTAATTTTAAACATGAGATGAAGATGGCCAATTTAGGTGGCCTTTTTGCGGATGTGGGCGAATGCGGTTTGGAAAAATCTTCTTTGCTTGGGGCTCTTCTCTCTACCTCCTTCTCAAACTATTCCTTTATTATTTACGAAGTTCAGAGCAGATCTCAAGATCCATCTGTTTGTAAAATTCACTAGGGAGCGCTGTTGAACATTGCTGAAATGGCGCTTTACAAGATAATTGATTGATTGAATAATTGATTGATTGAAAAAAATGATGATGCTGAAGATGATGAAAATAGCTACGCAATAATGATATTGTTGTTGATGATGATGATGATGATGACATTAACGATGATTGTAAACTCGAGTTAGCACACTTAATTGAGCGGGGAACATTTATTAATCAATTGAATGAAGTCGTCGCAATATAACATATGACATATGACATTTCTTTCTCTCATACTGTCTGTCTATCTGTCTGTCAGTCTGTCTATTTTCCTCTTCTTTTCTTTATCTCTCTCTCGCGCTCTCTCTCTCTTATCATCGACCATATAATACTTTGTATAATAAGAATGAGGTGACACACAAAAGGGACTGACTGGTTAGAAAGAATCAGACAACTCGTTAAGCTCTCTAGGGAACAAGGTCTTCTGGTATATAATAGGCGAGCACATAATTTAAGAGTTATCTTAGTTAAGTTAGAATTATCTCTATAACACACTTAAAGCTCTTGAACACTACTTTTACACGTTATCATTTGCGTTACTCTTTATATTTTAATTCTCAGTTTCAAGTTTTGTTAATTTACTTCATTGAAATATATTTAGTTGCAATCAGACAATAAAAATAATATTAACAATAATGGGTGAGTCGTTTCTCGTTCGATTTCGATAATTAAACTTTATAACATTTTAATCGCCAATTAAAGCCATCTCTCATTATTTTATGTACACGAACAATATCGAGTTATTTAACGTTGAGCGAGCGAGTTTACAGAGACAGAAAGGATTTCCCCAACAACAAACTATGTTGTTCGTTCAGTAACCGTCGTAGAACGGTGAATGCGAGCAGTATAACAACTATTACGAACGTACAACCGAACATAAAACATTGATACTCGCCTGATACAATCTTCATCTTGTTAACTTGCCTATATTAGGTCAAAACAAATTTATTTAAGAAACAAACCAACCAACTAACCAACCAACCAGCCAAGCAACTAACCAACCAACCAACCAACCAGCCAGCCAGCCAGCCAGCCAGCCAACCAGCTGGCTAATCAATTAACAAACCAGTCTCATCGAACAACAACTACAAACACCTACCAACATCCGATCAATACAATGAACGTTCAATTCATCATCATACGCAGGCCAATTGATTTTTTACTCAAAAAAATTGTTTTGCCCATACAAACAAAAAAATATACATAAATAATAATTTTTGTCCTTTGGTTGCATATACTTAACCCTCAAATAATTAATTTACCTCAACATTACAACTAAATTTATTAAAAATTGAAAAACATACACGAAAAAGAAAAAAAAATAAGCAGGAGTGTAAACAAAAATAATAGAAAAGTGTATGCAACCCTTATCGATTTCTCTGAACATATTGTTTGAACCACGGAGAGAAAGAGAGAGAGAGAGAGAGAGAGAGAGAGAGAGAGAAAGAGAGAAAGGGAGATAGAGAGAGGGAGAAGTTGCAGAAAAGAGAGAGAGATAGAAGAAAAAGATAGAACAAGCGGAATGAGTAGAAAAGAATATAAATGAGAAAAAAAAGATTATTAGTCGAGTGAGAGAGAGAGAGAAAGAGAGAGAGAAAGAGAGAGAGAATGGCATCTGTCCTGTTACAAGGTCATCTTTGAAGGTGAAGTGGTCAGTGTATCGTTTGTAGTGTGGCTGGCTTGCTTCCGTCTGTCTAAATAAATTATAAAACTCTAATTTGTTTTGCCAATTTTGCCCGAATAATAATAATGATGATGATGATAATAATTATAATATAAAAAATGATAATAATTTATATAGCGCCTTTCGTTCAGAAGAGCCAAACAGGGAAGCACATATAATATTTACACTTGTTTATAGTTCAATTTTTCGTCTGATTTTTCTTTTAGTTTTTGTTTATTTTTTTTATGATCAATAATTAAATAATATATTTATTTTTAATAGATTTTTCAGTTTTAATTATTCAATAATTAACGAAATGACACACACTTATGTCAAATTCAATTTATGGTCATTTTACGGTTGCGTAGGAAGGAACCCCCGCTTAACCCCTGACAAACACGCACGCACGCACACACGCACACACACATGTAAAACTCATACATGCATATTAATAAATAAATAAATAAATTAATAAAAAGAATAAATAAACAAAGAAATATATATATATATATATATATATATATATATATATATATAATGTATGGTGCTTTTGAGATATATTTAAAATTCTCGAGAAACGTAAAGAAATAAGGAAAAAAATAGATTAATTAAATAGCTTTCAATACAACATAAGGTACATTGTCTACAGAAATGAATTTAATTTAATGAAGAGATAAATAATTTTAAATATATAAATATATACATAAACAAATACATACATCTAAATATGATTGTAGGAATATATATATGTGTGTGTGTGTGTGTGTGTGTGTAATTTTATGTGTGTGTGTTTCCGTGTATATGTGTTTTAACGAGTTCGTATACAATCACACAAACACACACACAAACACACACACACACACATGTACGTGTAAGCATTATTACATGACAGCATATGAAAAAATGTTGTCGTTAACATTAATAAATTATGTCTATATTCATTAATTATGTTATAAATAACTTATTATTATTATCATTATTATAACTAACGGTCTTTATTATTATTTTATTACTACTACTACTAATAATAATAATAATTTTATTATTATTATTATTATTTACAACATTACACAGATTAGTCGATATTGATTGTAATCTGCACGGGAGTTTTCACATCAGCATCAGTACTTCGCTTTTCCATTGTATCATCATCACCACCACCACTATCATCATCACCACCACCACCATCCTCACCACCACCATCCTCACCACCACCATCATCACCACCACCATCATCATCTCTTCTTCTTCCTCCTCCTCCTCTTCTTGAGGCGATTTTTTTCGTTTTTGTTGCTGTTTTCGCGATCTCTCTATCATTGACGTCATAGTACTTTTCGTCGTCAATGCCCACACCGTCAACAACTTTATCTCCATGGAATTCTCGGTCAAATTGGAAAATTATTTTTTCCGATTTGACTCCGAAACGGTTTTCCGCGGTTTCGGTATTTTTATCGTCTTGTTTGCTTGAGTTTGTCGTTGCTGACGTCATTATGTGAGGCGACGTCTCGTTATTATCGGATAAGAGTTGAAAGTAGTTTCGATTCGTTTCGATTTCGTCGAGTATGTCGTTGCAGTAAGGGTCAACTAGTTCTGCCCATGTTTCCCACAACGGTTGCACTATGAAGTCTATGAATCCGACCTGTGTGTGTGCGTGTGTGTGTGTTTATGTATGTGTGTGTGTGTATATTGTGTATGTACGTGTGTGTGTTTGTTTGTGTGTTTGTTTGTGTGTGTGTTTGTGTGTGTGAGTGTAAATCCGACCTGGGTATGTGCGTGTGTGTGTGTTTATGTATGTGTTTGAGTGTGTATTGTGTATGTACAAGTGTGTGTGTGTGTTTGTTTGTGTGTGTGAAGGTGTGTGTGTGTTTATGTATGTGTGTGTGAGTGTGTATTGTGTATGTACGAGTGTGTGTGTGTTTGTTTGTGCGTTTGTTTGTGTGTGTGAGTGTGTGTTTGTTTGTGTGTGTGTGTTTGTGTGCGTGCGTCTGACGTAAGCAACATAAACAGCAATAAACGCTATTAGCATGTACAAATTGTTATCCACTAGCGACATCTATATAGCATAGATAGATGCCAGTTTTTTTTTGTGACATCAAAAACACGACTCCATTATTACTTACTGTCCATCATTACATTGTATAATTTTCAACTTACTATGTAATGACGGCGACGATGATGAAAATATCATTTTTTAATCGTTACTTAATATCACTAATATCATTTTTTAATCGTTACTTAATATCACTAATATCATTTTTTAATCGTTACATAATATCACTAATATCATTTTTTAATCGTTACTTAATATCACTAATATCATGAATTCTTACTGAGATGATGATGAGAAGGAGGATGATAGAGAAGAAAGGAAGAAATGAAAAAGAAGAAGAAGAAGATGAAGAAGAAAAAAAAGATGATGATGATGATGATGACAAAAAATGAGGATGACGACGATGTCTACTTCAATAGGTTATAATAATGACATAAGAATAATAAATATTACGACGACGACGACGATGATGAAGCAATAGAATGATGGTGATGATTATGATGACGATGATGGCGAAAGTAATGGTAATGATGATTGCCGAAATGAAAAAAATAGAGATGGCGCTAATGTAGTAGTGGCTTCAATATTTAATGTGATACAACCAACTCAGCTATTTTATTTTGACGCATCGCTATGTCAAAATAACTTTTTTTATATTTTCTTTGAAAACTTTTGAAGTAACTGTCTGACTGACGTGCGTGCGTGTGTGTATGTGTGTGGTGTATGGATGTATGTAAGTGTGGATACTGTGCAGGTGTGTATATATGTGTGTATGGATGTGTGTAGGTGTGTATATGGAGGCGTGTAGGCGCGTATATGAGTGTTTGGACGTGTTTAGGTGCGTGCATGTGTGTGTGTGTGTGTGTGTGTGTGTGTGTGTGTGTGTGTAGGTGTGTATATGTGTGTGTATGGACGTGTGCATGTGTGTGTGTGTTTTTTAAATATGTTCAAAGAAACATGAAAAAGCATTTTTAAATATTTCATAAGTCCTCATTTCATTTATTTTAAGTAAAGAAAACATGCAAATCGGTAATGGAATAATTTGTGTGCGTGTGTGTGTGTGTGTGTCTGTGTATACGTGTATTTGTATTGTGTATACACTTACATTTATTGCTTCGTGTTTGAAAACATCTGTATATATTTATGAATGTATGTATGTGTGTATACGTTAAAGCACTTTGTATCACACATACATAAACGCATTCGCATCAGCCAAATAACAAATAAACATACAACCCACAACACGTACACACACACACACACATACATACACACACACAGATAAACTTGTAGAGACACCCACGCACGCACACCAACAACAAAATCATTTGAATGTGGGATGAGGCAATATTTGAAAGATACATACGCACTGGAAAATTTTTTAGGACACGTTTTAGAAATTGTTATTTTTTTGGGGTTTTTTTTTATTATTTTTTACGAAGCAAAATTTTCTTGCACCTCCTCTTAGTTCTGAATAATGCAAACATTTGAATACTTAGTTGGACGCGCAGAGAAAAAAAATGAAAGAACATTAAATGAAATGAGAAAAAAATTATGACGGAAGTAAAAAAAAATCTACTGAGAAGAATTCTTGAAAAGTAAATAAAATATTTAAAATTCGTTTTGTTTGAATTTTTAAAAATTTTCTGAAATTTATTTTCTCGCGAAAATTTTGCTTGCTAGAGTGAAAAATTATAAAGCTTCATCAGTGAACATAAGAAACATCTCAGACATTAACAAAACACTTTTGTGTGTGTGTAATAAGATTAATAATAAAAATAATAAATTGTTATTATCATTATTATTTTATTGTCAATTTATTCTTAAAAGCATTAACAACACACACACACACACACACAAACAACACACACACACACAAACAACACACAGACGCAGAAAAAGGAGATGCCAGGTGAAACTTCCAAGGAATTGGAAAGGTCGGAACAAGATCACTAACAAGATAGATGGCGTGATCTACAGGACCTATGATCCTGGATGAAAATGAACAAGGATGGAAGCTGTCCATTCGAATGGATTATCCCTATCTACCGAAATAAAGAAGTAACACCTAGGTTAGGGACTAACAGGCTAATGTTGGGGTAATGTTATAACCGCTGAGATGATAGAATTGCGCTATATAATTTGATTATTGTTATCTTTGCTATATTTGTAATCTTTGGAAAGAGGATCCAAAAAACAGTGTAAAAATCTACCTTTCAGACTAGATACAGAAGTCAGTCAGGTTTCTAGCGAGGTTCGATGCGAAGTCGTAAATGTGGTTTATGTAGTTACTTGAAATAGTTTATTGTTTGTTATTACTGTTGGTATTCAAATAAACGTTCAAGAAAGTTTGCGTTTGAAGCAGTTGTGTTCATCTTATCGGAAATCCTGAACCTACGGAATAACGAACTGTTGACGATCGTTGTAAGCTACAACACTGGTGTTGGAGATATAGAGGTCTTTGAAGTTGTAACATCGGTGTTGGCAGTAACGAGTTCGAGGGTCACAACAAAGTAAATAAAATTATGTAATTGAATTCTTTAGTTTTAAATTTAATGAATTTTAACCTTGCTTATCTCTATAAAATTTATTTATTTTTATAAAATAAATAAATATAAATATATAATATAAAAATAAATATAAATATAAATAAACGAAAATTCTATAAATATTTCGTTCGTTTTTTCGTCTAATTTCAATTAATTTGAAAAAATTCCTCGAGACTATGCCTCCTACACATTTTATTTTCCGAAGCAAGAAACTCAACTCTTCAAAAATTCAAAAATAGAACTCTTATCATCAAACCGACTGAAAAAATTTTTCAATAGACGAAGTTTGGAACGATGAAATCCTACGGCAAATAGCTTTTATATACACAGATACCTACACACACCAACACACATGCAACATACACACACATAAAACACATGTGTATGTGTGTGTATGCGTGCGTGCGTGTTTAAGTGTGCGTATGTGCGCGCGTCTAAAATTGCTACCTGAGTACTGCGATCAAAATAATGCAAATTCAATCAACCGCAAAGCGAAAGCAATTTTAAGTATTTACCCAAAAAAAGAAATTTAAGAAAAATCATAATAATAAAGAATAACAATTATAACAACGATAATAATAATAAAAATATTACAAATATTAATAATAATAATAAGAAGAAAATTTATAAGAATAATCTCTTTTAAAATCATAGTACTACCAAAAGTAAGAAAGAGGAACGACATTGATTGACAACAATGTTAGCAATGAACGAATGAATGAATGAACGAACAAACGAATGAATGAATGAATGAAAAAATAAATAAATGAATGATGACTGACTGACTGAATGAATGAAAGAGAGAATGAATGAATAAATGAATGAATGAATGAATGAATAAATAAATGAATAAATAAATGAATAAAAGAATAAAAGAATGAATGAATGTATGAACGAACGAATGAATGAATGTGCCAAAGCTTTTTAATATTTATTTAACATCGCGTTTGATTAGAAATTTTTTAAAGTTGGATCTTTTAAATGTTGAATTAAGAATTGAAATAATAATTAAAAAATAAATAATAAAAACAATAATAATAGTAATAATAATTGAAATATATACAGAGACCAGAACATTATTGACAGAAAGATCTATTGTTGCAGACGACAAGAATGTTGTTTTTCTAGCTTTTCAACGCTGCCTGATAGCTAGAAACATTACTTATAGTTCCCATTCAATGGAACAGTTAAATTAATGACGAAAAAATTTCATTTTAAAATCAATTGCATTTCCAGATGTCTCACTTTTGAGACATATTCAGAAACCAAAATACTTTTCCATCAGCTACGCAATTGAATCATTTCCTTCCATTACCCCATATATTTATTTTACAAATTTATTTTCCACCAATTTATTTATCAACCGATTAAATCACACATTCAACTTCCCTTCCAGTCATCTATCCATTCATCTATCCATTCATTCATCCATTCATTCACGCATTCATCCATCCATTCATTCATCCATTCATTCATCCATTCATTCACTCATTTATCCATCCATCAATTCATCTACTCTCCATTCATTCATTCATTCTTTCATCTATCCATCCATTCATGCATCACTTCATCCATCAATCTATCTATTCATTTATTCATTCTTCTATTCATCCATTCAATCATTCATGCACGCATCCATTCATTAATTCATCTGGAAACAAACCTGAGACTTCTCAACAGATGCAGTGTGTCTGTCACACATGGGACTTATGTCTAGGCCCAGATCTCGCTCAATGTCACCTTATTAGTAGTAAAAATTACTTTAATTAATTTTCTTATTATTAATATAGTTTTATTATTATTATTATTTCTTAAAAAATTTTCAAAGATATCAACAAGAAAAACAACACACAGAAGGCACGCGAATACGCAGCATAAATTCACGCGCACACACACACACGCAGACACACACACAATGAATATGTGACAAGGGAGGATTTTTTTGCGTTCGAATCCAGTAGCTGCAACATTAGAGCCAGGCGCCTTAACCATTACTCTATCCCACCTTGATTGAAAAACTCTTGCATGACCCTCTCGATCCATTGGCTGTAGATGGGGAGGTGCTTGGCGGGGTTGCAGAGGTCAGCGCAGTGCAGCAGGCATTTTAAAACCTACGTGGAAGATGATTGGTCGTGGTTATGGCATGATGATGAAATGGTTTTTCTGATTGGTTGATTGATAGGATGCGGTGATTGGTCGATTGGATGGCTGGTTGAGTGAATGATTGATGATGATTGGTGGTTAGATAGATGGATAAATGAATGGATAATTGGATGAATAAATAAATGCGTAAAACATTAAATAAAATGGCGTGTAATGCTATCTCTTTCTTTCTTTCTCACTCTTTCTTTCTTTCTCTCTCTTTTTTTTTTCTCTCTCTCTCTCTCTCTATATATATATATATATAATTTTTAAAGAAATAAATAAATGGATAAATTAATAGACTGATTGACTGACTGATTGATTGATTGATTGATTGACAGATTGGAAGTAAAAATGACATGAAACTCAAATTTTAGTTTTTGATTGATTGATTAGAGGAATGAAATAATGAACCGCTTGATTGAAAGATGGAATGATGGAAAGATCGATGGATGTGAAGATGAATGAACGGATGGATGGATGAATGGAGGGATCATTAAATAAAGGAATGATGGATGGATGAAGGGAGGGAAGGGTCAGCAGATAAAGGAATGAAACTGATTGATGTATTGACGGGGCAGTTGGCGTACAAAGCCAAAATTTTTAAAAAATATAGTAAAGAAGACGATGATGATGATGATGATGATGGCAAGATAATGATGATGATGATGACAATAGTAGTAATGATGACGACGACGATGATGAGGATAATGGGTGATGATTAAAAATTAATTGATTGCAATGTAATTACAAAGTGTAAATGCATAGAACATTCATAATGAAGAAGTGAATAATGGATCAGTTCTGTTCGCGATCACTATGATAATGTTGATGATATTTGGAATGATGATGATGATGATGGCAATGATGTCGATGATGATGATGTGATGAGAATGGTGGCGACATGATGATGATGATGACCTCGAGGACGGCGATAGAGATCGTGATGGATGACATGATCGAAAGTGGCACTGAGTCAGTGATGACGATGATGACGGTGATGGTAATGATGATGATGAGAAAGATGATGATGATGAGAAAGATGATGATGATGAGAAAGATGATGATGATGAGAAAGATGATGATGATGAGAAAGATGATGATGATGAGAAAGATGAAGAAGATGACGATGACGATGATAAAGGTGATAAAAAAGAAGCTGATGATGACAAAGATAACGATAGATACGGCACAAATTGATGGTTCAAAATAAGGTTTTTAACATATATATTAATAATTAAAATGAAGATAATACAGATGAAGATGATGACAACACAGTATGGTATGTGATGGCGATGATGATGAAGGCGATGACGATGTACTACTACTACCTACTACTACTACTACTACTACTACTACTACTACTACTACTACTACTACCTACTACTACTACTACTACTACTACTACTACTACTACTACTACTACCACTACTACTACCTACTACTACTACTACTACTACTACTACTACTACTACTACTACTACTACTACTACTACTACTATTACTAATACTACTTCTACTACTACTACTACTACTACTACTACTACTACTACTACAAAATGATGACGATGATAATGATACAGACAATGTCGATGAAATGATGTTGAGCTGCCTTTCTCCGTTCATAAGATTTATAGTTAATCAAACTTAAATACGGACCTGAATTCACAATTAACGCCGAACTACTACTATCACTACTACCACTACTACTACTACTACTACTGCTGCTGCTGCTGTTGAAGCTGTTGTTGCTACTACTACTACTACTACTACTACTACTACTACCAATACTGCTGTTACGAATACATTTATACCATCCTTACAATCAAAAATTACAGAGTATATACATACATAGAATTGTTGAAGGATGTAGTAACTGGAATACTTCATGCAAGAGACAAACCTTGAAACCTACAAAAAATCTTCAACTACTACTACAGAAAGGGGCGACAGTTACTTAACTAGTAACAACAGTAAGGAAACAACCTAGGCTGCAGTCAGCCAGTTGGTCATAGTCATACATTTGGGAACGTGCCTTAACACGTCAAATCAAAGAATTGCACGGTTGCCATGCTTAGTTCATGCAAAACAAATTGTGCAATTTGAAACGATTCATAATAATTTTCATTGTCCCCATGACCACCACCACCATCATCATCATCATCATCATATTCTTCATCATCACCAACGTCATAATCATCTCTCAAAGGTTGTAATAGTGGTAGTTGCAGTAGAAGTAGACGCACAAGGGTATCAGCAGCAAGAGCAGTAGAAGCAAGAGTAGCAGCTGCAGTAGCAGTAGGTTATTAAAAATAACAATGATCGCCTTACCTGAATCCTCTCATTATAATTTTCCGACAGCTGCAGACCAGTTCCAGACACTTTCTTAGTCTCCACCATGGTCTTCATATCAGCCAGCAAGCTCATGTGTTTCGACATATCTGTCGCTAGGACCTACGCGGAGATTTCGGTGGGGTTTGTTTCATTTTCATATTTCTTTCTCTGAGTTTATTCTCAACAACAACAACAACAACACACGCACGTACACACTCACGCACACAAACACACACGACGTACATATATACGCAAGCATTTACATCCCAAACATGCTCTTGCAGATGGAAAATACAGATATAAAAAAAGAACAAAATCAGGCATACAAAACAACACACACGCTTTTAATTGCTTATACACACACATCACACACATACACACACACATACACACACACACTCACGGACCATATCGATAGTCATCTTCCTAATTCTCTGCCTAATTTTGGGGGGAACATTACAGAAAATATCACACTGGTTTCTCTGCATGAGTTTGAATGCTACGGCCAGGTGGTGGTTCTCCAAGACAGATTCGTCGTTGTACATCAGGGCCAGTTCGGAATCTGCGTTTGTAGGCGTTTGTATGTGTATGTATGTGTATGTATAAGTGTGTTTGTATGTGTGTACATGTAGGTTTGTGAATATGCAAACATACACAAAAACAAACAAACATACTGGTATTGATGAGGTGTGTGTGTGTTTGTGTGTACGTGCGCGCGTGTTTAACTGTTTATTTATATACAAACATACTTACAAAACATACACACAAAACTTACATACAAAACATACATACAAAAAATTCATACAAAACAAAGAAACAAACATACTGGTATTGATGAGGTGGTTGTTGGTTAGGCCAGGGTGATCAACGTCATGAATGATGCTGGAAAATATGACGGAGAGAATCTCAAGGTCCGTGAAGACATCCTGTGAATGAATGAATGAATGAATGAATGAATGAATGAATGAATGAATGAATGAATGAATGAATGAATGAATGAATGATAGTGGGACGAATTGATGAATCGATGGTTTGATGGATAAATTAGAATGTTTTAGACAAAAAAATCTTATCATACAATAAATGCGCTAAAAAATTGATTGAAATTTTTATCAACAGATTGGCTAGCCTTTTATTAAATCATAACACACACACACCGCACACACATACACATCACACATACACACCACACACACGTACACACACACATTTTTTTGACAAAATACAGACATTAAAGCGGCAAGTAGATAGATGTAACATTGAATTTTGATCATAAATTATTTCAGGTCACACAAATATCTGTAATTATAAATTAATAATAATAATTATTATTATTTATTATTATCAATATTATTATTATTATTTATATATTTTATACAGCTGCATATTAGGTAGAATTAGTTAGCTGTAATTTAAATTTTATCGATTGTTGTTGATGTTTTTACATAACGAATTTTTGGTTAATAGTGATAAACGGTCATTATTTTTCATATCATTTCTATTATTGTTATGGTTAATATTGTTGTTGTTGTAATTATTATTATTGCTGTTGTTGTTGTTGTTGTTTGACGTCATAGTCATCTGAGTAAACGAATTTCATTTTTATACGAAAATTTTTTAGATTTGGTTAAAAATGTTGTTTTCACATTATTATTATTATTATTGTTGTTGTTGTTGTTGTTGTTGTTGTAGTTGTTGTTGTTGTTGTTGTTGTTGTTGCTGCTTCTTCAGCTTTTGAAAAAATAATAGCTTGGTCTCATTTAAATGTTGTTCTTATTTGGGCAAAAAAAAATCAAATAAAATATAAAGTAATAACATTAATAACAATAATAATAATTATTATTGTTGTTGTTGTTATTGTTGTTGCATGTTTCAAAGAGGAATAAACCGTTGAGAAAAATTTTATTGTTAAACAAAAAATTGCTTCATAAATAACAAGAGCTTCTTTTGCTATACACTCACATAACACGCGCACACACACACACAAACAAACACACACACACATACACACATACACACACACACACACACACACTCAAAGACATACTCACTCACGCACGCACACGTACACGTACACAAACACACATACACAGGCACGCATACACACACGCATGCACACACACACACACACACATTCAATGACACACTCACACACACACACTCACTCACACACACGCACACACACACGCACGTACATAGAGCCATATAATTAAAGGGTTTATTATCAAAAACATTTATGACACTTGAGAAAATTCAAACGCAGAAAATTTCTGCATAATTAAATAATAATAATAACAAAAATAATAATGTTTAATAATAATAAAACAATAATAAAAGCAATAATAATACTGCTAATATAATGATGACAGTTTAATAATGAGGCATTTATATAGTTAAACTAGACAAATAAATACACATGCTTAAGCTTACAAATACATACACACAAATACATACACACACATACATACGCACACACACATACACAAACACATACAAACATACTTGCGTCCATTATATAACCTTGCAGAAAAACACTCAATAGAAACCACCACACGCAAAGAACTAACGAATTTTTATTGAAATCTAAAAATTTATTCCCATCGATAAGCAAGCCACACTGAAACCGATTAAACACTCGCACACATACACACACACATTTTTACACACATCACACACACACACAGACACACACCATTTAATACATAATAATAAAAAATGAACAAAAAATTGAAAGGAAGGGGCAAGGAAGAACAAATTAGAGAGAGGGAGAGAAAGAGAGAGAGAAAGAGAGAGAGAAAGAGAGAGTGATAAACATTATACACATAATAACCTTCAAATAAATTCATAGTCACATAGGCACAATAACAAAACCACCAGAATCCACTAAATCACTGAAAATATTCCCTCATGTGATGTCAAATGGCATTGTGATTTAATCTAACGTCAATCAATCAAGCTCACACACACACACACACACACACCACACAACATACACATACGCACACATACACACACACAAACACACACATGGCTGGAATGAATCAAATTTCTTCATAAATAACAATGTGAACAACATAAAAAATAATAAATTAAAGTCGCAATTGTAGCAATAGCAATGATACTAACAAGAATAATAAGAATTATTATTATTATTATTATTATTATGTTAATTTAACATTATTTTTCTTATCACTCGTATTGTTATTTATGAAGAAATTTGGTTGATAGTAAAAATGGGAACGATCTTTTATTCAGCAATAAAATATAATAAAAATGGCAGTACAAATAAAATGAAATAATGAAATAAAATAAAGTGTCAAATGCAATGAATAGAGTATTACTCTGAGATGCTCATACTGATGATGATGATAATAATAATTAAAAATAACAACGATAATAATAAAAATAATAATAATAATAAAAATAATAATAAAAATAATAATAATAATAATAATAAAAATAATAATAATAATAAAGTCCAGGTAGGTACGAATGGTTTTCAGCTAAATAAACACACGTCAGATCAGAACTACATAAAAAAAATATGGTGAATAATAAAATAAATAATAACCACAATAATAACAGCTATAATTGTAATAATAAACAGCCAAAGCGACTGACCAATAGCGGAGCTTTCTTCAGGATCACGTGAACGGCGTGCGTGACGTCAGTGGCGTGTATGTGGTTGTGGTAGGAGGCCATGGGGTTGTAGTGGCCTTCGACAAGGGCAAGATAGCTGAGGAGCGTGGCGTGTGGGATGTTGAACTTCTTTGTCAGGTCTCTCTGCTGTTGTCGTGTTTTTCGGTGTGTTAATAAATTTGCAAAGCACGTTCACACCTCACACACACACACACCTCACTCACACACACATCTCACTCACTCACTCACACACACACACACACCTCACTCACACACACACACACATACACACACTTCACACACACATACACACACCTCACACACACACACACACAGACAGACAAACACACAGACACACTCAACACACACACAGAGAGACATAAACATATACAAATGCACACACAAATCTATACACAAAAAATACCTTGAATATCGTATAAGCCATAACGGTCAGCGATCTACCGTTGGTCATTTTGTCCAATGTGAATACGCTCAGGTTCCAATCTGTCAAACTGCCTAAAAACTGTTGTTGATTGATTGGTTGGTTGGTTGATTGATTGATTGATTGATTAATTGATTGATTGATTGATTAGTCAGTTGGTTGGTTGGTCGGTCGGTTGGATGGATGGATGGATGGAGGATTGGTTGATTGATTGGTTGGTCAGTTGGTTGGTTGGTTGGCTGGTCAGTTGGTTGGTTAGTTGGATGATTGGTTAGTTTGCTGACTGGTTGGTTAAGTTGAATGAGTTATTGATTTGTCAAAAGATTGGTTGATCCTCTAATAAAAATGAATGGAAAGATCGATAGATGGAAAGAGAGATCAAACAAATTGGCATAATAGAACAACAAAGTAAGCCAATCAAAACAAAACAAAAAAAAACTAATGAAATTAAAAATTTCAAAATTTCAAGAAACACGTGTAAATAAAGAAACAAGGAATATAATTTATTTCAATAATCTTCACAGGCAAACATGTAAGAAATATCATCCAATGTATTGAAAGTCCAAGCCTCGGGCAACGAATCAACCCTCTTTTAATGAAGTTTTCATTTCGTAACAATATTTACATTAAACATTCTACCCAATTGTTTCTGTTCACACAAACACACACACACATATATATACATTCACACACATACACACACACAAACATATATAACCACAGGTTCGTGAATATGCACGTGTAAAAGACAAGAATAGAGTAATATATTGATTATTTGCAAATAATCAATCTCACGTAATGCATATTCATACAAAGAACACAAATATTACATACACACCAGCATGCAATTGCACATAAACACACATAACAAAACTCAAATATAACCAACCAACCAGCCAACAAACCAACCAACCGACTAACCAGCCAACCAACCGACCAACCAGCCAACCAACCGACCGACCAACCGACCAACCAAACAACCAGCCAACCAACCGACCAACCATAGCAGTCTACTTACGCCTGTCTGAGCGTTTATATTGACTCGGTTAACTTATTATTTTTCTGACGGTAGCGTGTCTCATGTTATTTTATTTTCTTCATTTTTTTTTTGTTTTATATCCGGATATTATTGCTTCTATGGCTTACAATATTAATCCTATTTTGGATATTTGTTTCAAAATGTTGATATGCTACAAAGTTAGTTTATTTATTAACAATTTTATATAATTTTTAATCATATGCTAAAACTAAAGTGGCTAAACCATGCTTTCAAATATCAAACTGTCCTTATGTTTATATTTATAACTGTGAATAAAATGTATATAACAACTGTTTTTGCCCAGCAAATATGCACTCAAACACTGGAACAAAATCTTCCATTCAATTATTATATAGAACAGGTATAAAACTGTGATAGTACAACCACACGGAAATATAGTGCATGGTTTATGTTTATTTTATTTTATAACATAAACACACATACATCTATGCAAACACACATACGTCTATATAAATATACACACATATATATCTATGTCAACAAACTTCTAAATTTGTCAATCAAACACGTTGAAATATACAAACAAAAACATATCTCTGTATATCAACGAATACTATATTCGTGTATGTCTGTGTATATATGCAAGTGTGTGTGTGTGTTTGTGTTTGTATCTGTGTTTGTATAAATTAATAAGTCAAAAAAATGTGTGTGTGTGTGTGCTGTATGTGTGTGATGAAAACAGATGAAAATTATGAAGCAAACAAAGGCATACATATTGCTCGCAAACGTATCTAAACAAGTATCCGTGTAAACAAACAAATATATCTACGCAAACAAACTGATATATCTATGCAAACAAATATATGTATCTATGTAAACAAACATATATATCTTTGCAATCAAACTAATTTATCTATGTAAACAAACTTATATATCTATGTAAACAAACACACCAATTTTACTTTTAACTACATGGATACCTACATCTGCAACTACATAAATAAAATATTTCCGAAAATTTAAAAATATTTCAACGTAAAACAACGAACCTATGTTACAAAGCATTAAATTTGAAAAAAATGAGAAATTGGTAAATTGCCAATCAGTAAAAAATTGAAAAGAATATTATCCGAAATAAATTTCCCTCAAGGCAGATATGTTATTAATGTTGCCCGATCTTAAAGGAAGAAGAAGTTTTGTGAATTTTCAACAATTAATAAATTGACCTAAAAAATGAGAACGAGAGAATGAAAGAGATAAACAGAGAAAGAAAGAAAACAAGAGAAAAATAGATAGGCAGGGAGGTAGAGGGGAAGAAATAGAAGGAAGTATATCCAAATGTTTTCTTATCATATTTGCACACTCTCCTTGGAACGAATTTGTTTTGCATGATGTTGCCTTCTTTCTTACTTTTGTTTCAGAGTTTTTTTTTTGCCATCGTCATCATCATTATCGTCATCATCACCCAAATCTTCATCACCCATCATGTCGTCATCATCTTCAGCCATCGTTATCGTTATCTTCATCATTAATCGAGAGAGAGAGAGAGAGAGAGAGAGAAGATGTCGTTGTTATCGTTATTATCATCATCATGATAATCATTTTCATCATCACCATTATATTATTATCATTGGAGTTCATAATGGTCGCATTCACTTGCTTCGGCCTCAAGCAGCTCAACTGCATCTACTATGAAAAAGAAACATCATTTGTCTGTCTGCTTTATTTCATTGTTATTTTTCATCATCGTCGTCGTCTTCACCATCGTCGTCACCTTCGCCATAACCACCATCACCACCATCATCATCGTCGTCATCTCGATTATGACGTAGCAATAGTAGTGATGATGACGTCGTACTTTCATTATTTCTGACAATTTTGTACCCAAAAATTTATTTTGGCCACGAGTCAGTCAGTCTGTCTCGCTTCTAACTTATCGAATTATATAGCATTATGAGTATAATGCGCACGTTTTTAAGTATATATTTATACACACATATATACATATATTATTAAGTATTTGAAAAAGAGAGAAAGATAGAGGAAGAAAGAGAGAGAGAGAGAAAGAGAGAGTTCGTGAATGAATTAATGTTATATCAACACTTGCTTGTTTTGTCCTATCCCATTTGAAAAATTGAAAAATTGATCCATCATATTAGAGATATAACACATTGTGTCCTATAAAGGAAACGTTATAATGCTCCTTGAAGCTATCCGTTACATTTGCTAGAAATGTCATTTAATAATGTATGTGTATATGTGTGTCTGTGTTTGTTTGTGTGTGTGTGTGTGTGTGTGTTTGTATAGGGTACATATGAGTATGTGTCTGTACGCTAGAAATATCCTTTAAGAATGTGTGTATGTGTGTGTGTGTGTGTTTGTATAAGGTACATTCATATGTGCCTGTACGTGTTGGCATGAATGGGTGTGTGTGACTTTTTATACATGTGTGTACAGCGTGGCGTCTCTATATAAAGAACTGGCGTATTGTTATTTTGTTTCATTCTTTTTTTTTCTCTCGCGCCATTTCTTCTCAAGGCATCATTCCGTACCACAGGCTCTCTCCATTAACCTCTTCTTATCCATTCAAGGCTAACTACTCCTTCACCACACTTCTGTCTCTCTTCATCATCTGCTTTTTTTCCGACTTTTCTCATAATTTCCTTAAAATATTTTCTCATATATTTTAAAAATTTTCTACCATTCATCATTTTATCGAGTCTTCGAACGTGGATACTGATGACGATCATGGTTTCTACAGCGCTCCGATTGCATGTTATATTTTTAAACATTATAACAACAATTTTTTCCCGCCATATTCTCTTCAATTTATTACTCTTATCAAAATTTTTACGACAGAAAACATCTCTCCGGACGACTCTCATACAAAATTTATCATACCCTTAATGATCATTTTATGCTTTCCCGTAGTAATTTCCACCAGTCCACCAGAAAAATCGATATCTCATTTTTTCTTTTTTTTTCTTTTTAAAATTTGCACATAAGATGATTACAAATGATTAAAGATGATTAAAAATGAATAAATATAATTGAAGATAATTAAAAACTGTTAGGCTACACGTGATTCAACGCATTACACTCATTTTAAGTAGGAATTTCTCATTTTTTCTTCTTCATATGATCAGTGTGCTGCTACAAAATTTTAATAATCTCATTCAAATTTGTTTGCAAATCGTATATAGTGTATAGTGGTTTTAAATTCTACACAGGTAAGTCCTGTTTGTGCGTAGAAAATCACTTTTTATAACAGAAAGTTAAAATACGTGGTATAATTGTAAAAAATATAATTTAAAATGTTAAATTTATTCTTTGTTTCATGCAACGATTCCATTGAAATTAATCTTTGTTTGTCATAGAGGAATTATTTTTGTTCTACGGTAACAGTTTTATGTGTAAAATTCCAAGGGACAAATAAATTCATTAAGTAGTGATTTTCGTTGTATAGAAGTTTGCTATAAAAAGGTTCAACTGTAGCATGTAAAAATTTTTAATTCAAAAATGTTAAGTTCATATTTGCATATATACATAATGGCATATATGTGTATTTATATGCATGTGTGTATATATGTAGATGTATGTTTGTGTGTATATTTGCACATGTGTGTGTGTGTGTTTATTTACTCATTTATCAGCTCAGCACGACGCGCGGCATAAAATCAGCTGGGAAATACAAGCTCATAGATTTGTGATCGATTGTTCAGAGACAGAATACTTTTAAAAATTTGATTTTTTTTTTATTGCTTATATTATTATTATTGCTATTAGTATAGTTATTGTTGTTGTTGTTCTTCTTCTTCTTCTTCTTATTATTTTTGTTATTATTTATTTATTTATATATATATACTAATGTATACCCATATATAAACATGTAAGATCAATTAATTTTTGTCAATCAAAATTGAAAAAAACTTAAGATAAATAAACTCGACAGTACCAGATTTACATGAAAGATAAAAAAAACGCTTAGACTGATGATTGATCGTTATCATCATCATTGTAATCTGTATTTTCATGATCATCGTCGTCGTCGTCATAGTCATTATTATTATAAAGCAACACAAACAACATTCATTATTCGAACAACAAAAACAACAGCATAAAAAAACAACAACACAAACAATACAAACAACACAAACAACAAACAAACAGCAACACACCTAAACAAACAACAACCCCGTAGCAAAAAAACAACGCAAACAAACAAACAACAACACAAACAACAACAAAAACAACCACACAAACTACAACAAAAACAACCACACAAACAACAACACAAACAACAACAACACAAACAAACAAACAACAACCACGTACAAAACAAAAACCACCAAACAAATACCCGCAACAACAATCCCATCCGGCAAATTAACACCCACAACAGCCGCGCAATCAGCAACAACAAACAAACAAATTTTCTCCGGAGCATATGCTTAGATTACGCGTTGGTCTTGGCTTTACAAGCTTCTACGAATAGATTTATGTCTGCTACGTGCATTCATGTATGTATGTGTATGTTTGCGTGTGTGTGTATGTGTGAGTGTGTTTGTTTGTGTGTGTATGTGTGAGTGTGTTTGTACGTAGATACATTATTCTTGGGGTAAGTTTGTTTGTAAATAAAATAAAGATACATCAGACACATCAAGTCATACGTCAGAAATTACATTACAATGACATCATATGCCGCATAAAACATCACACAACGCTACACACAACAAATTACATCACACACACACACACACGTCACATACACACAAACGTTCTACATAACTACAAGAAAAATCACTGCACACACTTCATAAATACACATTACATTAAACTCACTCCATTGCGTATATCACACACCACGTCACACACACGGCCCCAGAAGAGAGAAAGAGAGAGAAAGAGAGAGAGAAAATAAAAAAGAGCGGAACAAGAAAATTACATTCTCGCTTCTCTTATCATTACTAATTCGCATGGATCTAAGAATAAAAATGAACACAAACGGAGAGAGAGAGAGAGAGAGAAAGAGAGAGAAAGAGAGAGAAAGAGAGATAGAGAGAGAAAGAGAGAAAGAAAGAAAGAAAACTAACTGTAAATAAATAAGCTCCACGTGATTAGCAGAAAAGTCACGTGACTTGACGTCAAGCGTGACGTAACGACATGTTGGAGGTCGTTTTTGAAAGCCCTCTGTCGAGGCATGCGTTGCTGCTTTCCTTGTTTATATGTTTGTACATATGTGTGCGTGTGTTTGTATGTTTGAGTGTGTGTGTGTTTGTGTTTGTATGTTTGTGTGTACGTGTGTTTGTGTTTATCTGTGTGTTCGTGTGCGCGCGTTTGCGTGCAAACACCAGTGTGTATCTGTAAATATTTGTGTAAATAGGGATCACATGTATGTATGTATGTATGTTTGTATTGTGTGTGTATGTGTGTGTGCGTGTGTGTATTAATGTATGTGTGTGCGTGTATGTGTGTAAGTGATTTAATGTTATGGCTCATCGACATCAGCTCCCTCCTATCAAAGAAGAACACCGAGCTATTTGACAGTCATAAATTAACAATTTAATAGCTAATGGCCAGCATGTATATAACGTCAAATCGTTAATTTTAACCATGATGTATGTGCATTTGTGTACATTTTTATGTATGTATGTAAGTGTGTGTGTGTGTGTGTGTGCGCTTATGTAAAGGTGTGTATTTTATGTGTGTACGTGCGTGTGTGTCTATATGTGTATGTATATATTTGTTTAGGAACGCGGTATGTGTTTGCAAGTAGTTTTGTATATTTATCAATATGCGTATATATATATATGTGTGTGTGTTGGTAATAGACCATAATTTTTACAATATTCTATAAATTCTACCGAATGTTTGGCGTTAATATGTTTGTAGTTCGTTTTTTCGATTTTTCTCACTAAAGTTTTTTGGTGAACGTTTAAGTTCAATATTTCCCTATATATACAGCAAGGAGCACTGATGATGATTCATTCGGAATCGAAATATGGCCTTATTGCAGCAT